TTACAGAAGGCTTTGCCTCTACAACCATGGTTCCTACACGTCCTCCTCCAATCATAAGTGGACAGACACACATAGTGGATGTTCACTGGGCAAGGAGGAAGCTGGACATGTAGCATCTGCACTGTGCTGGGCAGGGGATGTGACCAGAGCCATCTGGCCTCAACAGCAGGAGATACAATGTTTTCCACAGAAGCTGGTAGCAGTCTGAGTGGTGGCTCTGAGCGCTTAGCTGTGACTCCAAGACCTGTCTGTGCTTCTTGACCTCTGGACTCCACAACCTGTCTGTGCTTCTTGACCTCTAGACTTAGTGTCTTCCTCTTTGGAGGCAGATGAGTTGCAGGCTAGCCTTTGCTACACAAGACCCTGTCTCAGAAAAAATTATACATCATGCACACACACACACACACACACACACACACACACACACACACACACACGAGGATTGCCAAGTTCTAAATTGGCCTGAACTATGTAAGGAGTTCCAGGTCAGCCCAGGCTATATAACATGAGACTCTGTAAGAAAAACAGGAAAGGAAGGGAGCCATAAGGAGAGCAGAGAAGGAGGGGAGAGGGCTTCTGGGTTCTGTGGTCCTGTCCCAGGACATTATTTTTGGTGCCCTGGCATCTGCATCCCAGGTCAGAATGATCCCTGCAGAGGCTTCCACAGGAACAGGACAGTGGGACAGTGCACAGCACAGCCGGCCTTAAGCAGCCCCATCACTCCAAAGCTCCCCAGAAGCCACTTTGCCAAACTACACGATGTGTTGTGAGAGCCTGGTAATTCCCAGGCCTAGCTTGGAGATGAGCCACTTTGCCCTAATTAAAACTAAACCTTCAAGCTCATGGCAGCAATGGTGCTGTTGAAACACAGGCTGCAAATTGCCTTTGATTGATGGTTGCCATGGTCCTTGTGGCTTCCCTCTGTGTGTAGCTGTCACGTGACAAAACCTTCCCCTCCATTTGTTGTTCCTGAGAGCTGCTGAAGGACTAGAAGCATTTGGGGCTTAGATGTGTTTAAATCTGGAGATCTGCCCAATTCCACCCCTACCACCATCCTGTTCCCAGGCACTCCCAGAGTTTTGACCTGGCTGGTCAGATGCTAAGGGCTTGTCCTTGAAGGCCAAGGACTTGTGAGTCTTCTGGAGTCAGGAGACGTTTGCAAGTTGATCCTGGATAGCCGAGTGTCAGTAGACTTGTAGTCACAAAGCTGTGGTGCCTATCCCTGGGGGCCCTAGACGTCTCATGTCAGGGCGTGCTGTGTACTAGACTCTGAGGTCTGAGCCCCGGCTGACTTGGCTCTTCACACGGGCAATCAAGTCATTCCCACAGCAGTCTAACAGAAAAAACCTGGCAGACAGTGGAAGCAGCCATTGCCTGAGTCTTTTCATGGAGCGAGGTGAGATATGGCCGTAAATCAAACATGGCTGTGCAGGGTGGGTGCTGGGACCACAGACAGTACCCACACTCACATGCAAGCTGACCTTCACACGTGAGCCCCCCACCCTGTCTACACACGCCTGCATGCACACACATGCTGGGACCACAGACAGTACCCACACTCACATGCAAGCTGACCTACACACATGAGCCCCCCACCCTGTCCACACACGCCTGCATGCACACACATGTCAAAGGACATGTGAAAAAGATCTTCCACTGTGCCATGGGTTGGCATTATTTGGTGGTGGGTTTTGTGGTGGGTTGGTTGGTTCTGACATCAAACCCAGAACCTTGAGCTTGCTAAGTAAGCATGGTCTCTACCACTGAGCTATACTCCCAGCCCCATAGCAGCCTAGTCTTGTGCAGGTCCTGTGCAGGTCCTCAGCGCGGTTGTGAGCAGAAGAGTGCAATAGCCAGGCTGGGGAGGTGGCACAATGGTTAAGAGCTCATATTTCTCCCAGCACCAATATCGGGTGGTTTGCAACTGACTTACGACCCCAGATTCAGGGTGTCTGCACCTGCACTCACCTGCACACACCCACACACAGATACACGATTAAAAATAAAAATATGTCCTAAAGTTATTGGTCATGCCAAGTACAGAAAACAGCCACAATACTCCACTCCATTCACACACTCTTACATCCATTCTGCTTTCTTTTCTGTGAGCCCCATGAGCATTGAGAGGGCAACATAGATGCCTCGGTTATGGTTGAGCATTCAATAGTCATTCATTCTCAGCACTTTGACCAGCTGTGAGAGTCTCTGCAGTAACCAATGTGGCTCTGTGGTGCAATGAATAGCGCATTGGACTTCTAGTGACGAGAGTCTCTGCAGTAACCATTGCCTTTCTTCACTAATCTAGCAGCAGGACCCAGCTGTGGAGATGAGCATGGCTCTTAAGAAGGTGATCTGATGAGCCCATAAAGTCCATTTAGCAAAACAACAGCAGTAGCTGATCTTCTAGGACTGTGATTTCCCCAGCATGGGCTTTTGACAGTGTTTATGATAGTAGATATGAATTAGTTTCTGTGACATGGGCCTCGATTTCAATCAGAAAGCAGTTAACCTTGTAACAGGCTTGCTACTATTGCACCAGTGGGCACATTCTGCCTTGCAGGTTAGTTATATAGTAACTATGCCTTTTTAAGGGGCACAGTTTAGCTACCAACAGTACATATAAGGGCCAAAGATGAGACTTCTGCTCCTGGAAAGACAAGGCTGCGAAGGGTTGTATATGAGGCCAGAGGAGAGCTGGGGTCAAGAAGATCTGGGGGTCATAAAGGAAGGGTGGTGTTGTCACAGCCTAGAGGTGGTCAATGGGTCCCCTCCAGGAGAAACTTCTGTGGCACTGGTAGTGTCAACTGTGAGAGGAGGTGTGACATAAGCCTCTACCTGGGACTGGACAGAAGACATAGCATCAACAGCAGATGCAGAGGCAACATTTGACCTTGAGACTCACTGAGAGCCAGGTCCTGGGAGACTCATAAATCATTTGAATGACCCCAGCGTCAGTCTATCAGAAGACAGGAAGGGTACATAAAAGATGAGCCCGAGGATACAGGAAGCTATCTGAGAAGATGTTCCTGAACCAGACCACCAACAAGTCTCCACTGCTCTTGTCCAGCTAGTCTATAGTCCAAGCTCACTGTGAGGATCACTACAAATGTGCAGTAGCATTTCTGTCGCATTCAGGGACAGTCCTAAATGGAGCCATGGTCCCACGAGGGGAACTCTCAAAGGAACACAGCAAAGATCTCATTGAACCACAAGCTACAGCTGCCAGGAGGACACTTGGACCCCAATGTGTAGAGATCGGCTCAGCAGAATTGCTCTTAGTGGAGGGCTGCTGCACATTGGACCAGGAGGAGTCTCTGTGGAAGCTATTCCTGCACAGGCATCATCTTGTCCTAGGAGGATGTCATTACTGCGGCTTAGGGTTCCCAGGACCGAGGTCTGGGCATAGCAGTAAATTAACCACCACATTGAGCAGAAGTGCTATGGGGAACGGAAGGGAAAACTGAATAGCTGCTGTGGCCTCAATCCAGGGGCAGTAGTAGGATTTATGTTCCCCTCAGCCTTCCTCTTCCATGTTTCTTCTGGAATAAAAAGCTGAGGGAGCCCTGGGAACACGGTCAGGCATGGTACAGGGACGGGGGGGGGGGGCCGAGCATGAATGTGCTGCTGAGCTCCCTTCCAGGGAATCCACAGCAGCACACAGCCCACAGCCTCACCTTGGTGATCTCCACCCTTTCCCCAACGCCAAGCAAAGTCAGCCTGCAGAGGGGTCCTAACCCTCATCCCTTCTGAGTGCCCTGTGGCTGAAAGTTACGGTTCTGAAGCCATTTCCTGTCTATCCCTCTTGCCACTCTCCTTCAGGTATCAGGGCAGATCTCCCAACCCATTCCCTCCAGTCCTGCCTCTCCTTCCCCCGTGGGCATCTCCCCCATCACCTCTCTTATACACCTCATCTCCTGGCATCCACATCTCGAGGAATCCCAGCTGACATATGTATTGGGTAGGAAGCAGGCAATTGTCAGTTTGTTTGTAAAGGGAGGAGAAGGATGAAGGATGAAGTATTCAGTCTGAAACAGGCTTGAGCTTTTACTGGTGAGAGTCAGAGCAGAACTCACAGGCTGAAGATGTGGATGGAAACTGACGGCAGGATTTCACACTGGCCTCCAGAAGAAATTTCAGGTGGGCCATTTATGAACCTTGGTAACTTTGCTAGCTTCCTTCACAAAGCCTCCATCAGGCACAGATGGACTTTGACAGTTTTACCTCTTGCATGCCAAAACCCTTAATTGTCTAAGATGGAGGTCCAATATATTTTGGACAATGGGAAGATCATTGCAGTGAGTGTAGACTGGGATGGGACTATAATTCACTCAGTAAAGATCTACCACGCAATCATCAGGACCCAAGGTCAATCCCCAGAATCCCCAGAACCCACCATATACAAAAGCGGGATGTGGTGTTCTGATCCTGTAATCTCAGCCCTGGGAAGGTGGCAATCCGGAACCTCCAGGGCTTGCTGGCCGACACGCCTAGCCAAATAAGTGTGCTAGCTCCAGGCCAAGTGAGAGACCATCTTTCAAAAAACTAGGTAGATGGCACCCGAGGAATGACACATGAGGTTGACCTCAGATGCACACACACACACACACACACACACACACACACACACACGAGCATGAATACACTGTGTGGTAGGGATGATAAATAACAGCTCTTACCACTTAAATACAATTGTTATTCGTAGTCTGTCACACACATTCCCTCAATGAAAGTCAAATGAAGAAGTGGACCCAACCCAGGGTGCTCTGCCACCTCTGTAGTTCTAAAGCCAACCACTTTGTGAATCTGGAAAGAGACGGCAGGTGAGAAAAATGAGGAAGAGGATAGAAAATGGGAAGTGAGCCTTCTTTCCCATTGCTCAGTCCACCCTCACACTGCCATGGCTAGCTGGTTACAGTGCCATGGGAGTTTAGCAGTCAGTAACTTGAACCTGAATTACACCTGTCACAATAATGACCAACATACTCTAGATGGTTCTGAGTCTTGGCTTTTGTAATTACCCTTTTCTTGTTCAGGGAATGTGAAAAGCAATGATGGGCATTGCAAAGCCCAGGCATTAGTGAGTGTGAGCCAGGCTTTCTTCAGCTCAAAGGAAGCTCTTCTTCCCAGAGGTGATCTGAGCACTTGGGTCTCATAGGTCCTCCTATTCCCCTCAGTAACAAGGCTGCTTGCCTGTGAAGAGGCCCCGCTGTGCACTGTGTCTGCAGCCTTTGCCCCTGCCACACCAGCCCTTCTCCAGGGTGTCCTCCATGGCCACAAGACTTCTGGGGATGGTCAAGAAGCCACCAGGCATGGGGCATGGAGCTTTCTAGGCAACAGAAAGACAGAAGGTGAGGCAGGCTTCTCTTTCAAGAACTAACTTCCAAGAGATTGACTTTAAAGAACTGGCTCACTGTGTGGTCTAGTAGGTCTGAAACTACAGGTCAGGACAGCTGGGAGGTTAGGAAAGGATTGGAGTTACAGGGTTGACTCTGAGGATGTCCAGAGGCAGAATTCCTTACTTCCTGGCAGAGTCCTAGCATTTTTTCCCCGAGACAGGGTTTCTCTGTATTGTTTTGGAGGCAGTCCTGGAACTCGCTCTGTAGACCAGGCTGGCCTCGAACTCACAGAGATCTGTTTGCCTCTGCCTCCCGAGTGCTGGGATTAATGGTGTGCACCACCAAAGCCCAGCTTTTTCTCTTAAGGCTTTCAACTAGTGAGGTGGGTCCCATCATATTATGGACAATGATCTACTTTAAGTCCCTGTGTGGAAATATAACCTCATCTTCAGAATACCTTTGCACATCTGCATTGACATCTGACAAGTCCATGGGGATCAGAGGCTTATTAAGTTGACATTCTACATCCACCATCCCAAAGAATCCATGAGTTCATCAAGGTGAATGGAAAGGTCAGAGCAACCACGGCCAAATGCACTTTTAGGAGTTGGTGACATTGAGATGCTAGACAGATCCTCTGTGTAACTTGCTTAGCCTTCTGAACCTGGAGAGGGAGAGAGGAAGGGAAGGAGGGGGACGGGGAGGGGGAGGGAGGGAGAGAGAGGAACAGTTACTATAAGAATCAAATGGACTCCATTTGTAAAAATTCTAAAACAGAAAGTACCATGTGTTTGTCCTTTACTTGTGACAAGAATGACTTCATCGGTGTTTTCCTATTGGTGTGCCTGACGTGCATTCATTCCAAGTTCCTCTGAGAATGGTGCTATTGATTTGCCAGCAGTAGAAAGAGCCTTTGACATTGTCCAGTTTGAGACAGGTTTCTGTTGATTTGTTGCTCAATATGCTCAATAAGGAGTTCTTGTCTGAGTGCAGGAAGAAGGAGCAGTGGCTCCTCAAACCAGCCACATACACTTTCGGTGTGTGTCCCAGCTCCACAAGGGTGGAGAGAGAAAGGGAAAGAGCATCCTTTGCAGAGCTAGTGGCTGTCTGGTGGAGAAGACCTTGGATGTTAGCTGTCTTCCTGTCACACACCAAGACTCAGAGGACACAGGATGGACCAACTGGTGAGTGAACGCCAGTCACTCGGGACTAGGGACCCAGCCGCTCCTGGCAGGTATGACTTGATTTAAAAAAAATGAGAGTTTGAGGTTAAATAACAAGCTGTCAGTCTTAGCGGCTGCCTGATGAAGGAGACAGAGAAAAGGGAGAGAGAAAGCTAAGGTCTGCAAGAGGTGGGGAAAGCTCACAGTGCCAAGAACAGAAAACAGGCTTAGCAGCCTTACTGGCCAGGGTATGGGGGGGGAAAGACAGTAAGGAAAGGGAAAGGTATGCTTTTGGGTCACTCAGAAAAGCTGTCAGACTGCATTGTTGCACAATGAAAGCTAGTTAAGTGTCTGCACTGGGAGGGGCTTCTGGGAAGGAAAGTATATTATGGTATTAAGGAGATAATTATTCCTCCCATCTCCTCAGCAGGGTTTTAGTGAATCATCTTTCTTGAGGGATGATCTGGCCAGGTGATTGGCAGGCCCAGCTGGATTTACGCTATTTTTTTTAATTGGAAATAATTTTTTCACACGATATATTCTGACCATGGCTACCTCCCCACCCATCCAATTCAACCCCACACCTTTATTCTCTTCTCCTAAGAAAATAAATAGGCAAACAAAAAAAAAATTAAAAAAAGAAAGCACATAAATCACATGTACATACACACACACACACACACACACACACACACACGTACATGAAGACAAACAAAAAAAAACCCCTAAAAATCCAAGACTGGGAACTATAATATAAAATTAAAAGACAAGAAGGTTAGAAAAAGAAAAAAAAGAAAGAAAAGAAAAATTCTTTAATCCCAGTACTCAAGAGGCAGAGGTAGTCAGATCTCTGTGAGCCTGGTCTACAAAGCGAGTTCCAGGACAGGCTCAAAGCTACAGAGAAACCCTGTCTCAAAAAAACAAAACAAAACAAATGAAAAAGCCTAGACAAAGCAGTATGAGACAAAAAAAAAACCTTTAAAAATACATTACAATCTTAATAAATGAGGTATTCCCTTCCCCCACTGCCTCACAGCTCCAAAATAAATACCAGAGGGATCAAGATTTGATGTAAACAGGAAAGAAAGAAGGGAGGGAGGGGGAGGAGAGGCAGGCAGGGGAAAGGACAAATCAGGGCTGGAGAGATGGCTCAACAGTTAGGAGCTCTTACTGATTTTCCAGAGGACCTGGGTTTGATTCCCAACACCCATATCAGTCAGCACATAACCATCTATAACCCCAGTTTTAGTTGACCTGATGCCCTCCTCTGGCCTCTGTGGGCATGCACATACATGTAACATAGTCACTCTCTCTCTCTCTCTCTCCACAAATAAATAATAAAGTGTTCTAAACTAAATTAACAAAATGAAACCAAGCAAGGCTTGATGGCACATGCCTTTAATCCCAGCACTTGAGAGGTGGTGGCTGATTCAAAGCTAGCCTGATCTACATAGGACAGCCAGGACCATAAAGTTAGAATTAAAAAAAAAAAAAAAAGGATAGCAGAAGGGATGAGCAAGGGAGCCAAGGTGGTGTTGGAGAAACATGCAGAAAAAATTGACCTGAACTAGTGAGAGCACTGAGACCCTAGTTGTACCTGGGGAAACAGCATTGGCCCGAACAAAGTCCTCTGAATGTGAGGCCAGCTTGGAGGCCTGGGTTGTCTATGGGATCTCTAACAGTTGAGCCATCATTTATCCCTAGTGCACAGATGGACTTTGGGAGCCCTTTCCCCATAGAGGGATACTATTGCAGCCCAGATATGGGAATGATGTGATGGACTTTGATGATCCCCCATGGAAGGTCTCACTATCCCTGGGGAGTGGGTGGTGGGTGGGTTGGGGGGTCAGTAGGGAGCATGGGAGGATGGGAGGGAGAGGGAATGGGAGGATTGATATGTAAATAAGAGTGCTTCTAAAATTAAAAAAAACCAAAACACTACCTTGAAAACAAAAGCCCTCCTGCTGTCTTATTCAACGAAGCTTCTAGAAGTAGACATCTACCATCGTGGCCTCTCTTTTCCATGGTGTGTAAGTTCTCTGCAGCCAGGCTCCCCTCACGCACAGCTCTGCTCTCCAGGATGGCCTTTCCCAATATCATCTCATCCCCCTCGGAAAGCAGCCATTGTCCTCATGGTCCCACAGGCCCAAACTGGCCCAAGTTATTTCCTCCATACTCCCTTGTGTTGATGTATTGTTTATGATCTCATAAAGCCACTGAAGATTAGAGAAGCAAAGCACCCAGACAGTAGCTCTTACCTCTACCAAGGCTGAAATGGACATCCTGTCTTCCCTGTGACTTCATCAGACTTCCAACTCCTGCATCCTAGAGATGAAGCCCATCTGGCCCACCCTCTTCCCACACGGCTGTCTGCTGACCTGTCTACAGTCTCACAGTAACCAAGTCCAAAATCAGCACAGAGCTGAGTGGACCAGTACTAGCAACAGAGGTAGATGGCCACAAGACAGTCCATCGGGCAGGTGGACTCCATTTGCATCTCCACCCTGTTGACACACACAAGTCTCTAGGAGTGGTCATGACATAGTGCCCTGGAAATAGTTAAGTAAGCATTTAAAAGTTCCAGGGATTAGGGTCCCACAGTGTCTCTGGGAAGAAATTCTTTAACTTGGAGCTTTTTATACTTTGTTACAACTCCTTTTTGCCCAAGAAAATTTACTTGTATTGGTATATAAGACAGGCATACAAATCCAACACTCACTGATAATAAACCACCAAGAAATTTACTTGGAAACAGTTCTTTGGTATTTGTCACTTGTCAAAAACAAAAGTGAATCTTCACACTAGTGGGATGGGTGTGCTTGCTTGTTTCTACATAAGAGTTAAACACTGGAAGAGTATCCAACCCTGCAAGATGTAGGGCATCTTCACCCTTTCCAGAGTCAATTACCCTGTGATTTTACAATCAATGCTGAGAACATTGCCTCATGTACATAAATATTTAGTTTGAAATACCAGTGGTATGTTTAAAGACATTTCAGAAATTCTGTCTCCTCATCTTAAGCCAAAACTCATTTAGTGAATTTTTGTAAACCTCAAGCCTACAACTCAAACAGCAACTGTTAAGATCAAATACTCTAATGCAGTGCAGTCCAGACACACGCAAATGTGATGCACATTGAAGAAACAGTCGTAGGAAAATACTCAAAGTCTGTGTTTTCTACAATTAAATCAGTTTCTGTAAGCACAGAGAACTTTGTATGCATTGTGAAGACGCTGCATTCATAGATTCCAGTGTTTCCAATCTGAGCTGAGGTGTTTCAGACAGCTTAGGTGGCCCTGCATGATGTGATGGCTCCCACTGTGAACTTGCTGTACAATCAGAACCAGGGCTGCAGTGGGTATTGCTGTGTGACACAGACAAGTGCCACCAGAAATAACTCGAATTCATTCTACATTTGATTTGTTTCTTGTTATTTTGTTTTTAGAGATGGGGTTTCCTTGGTAACTTTGGAGGCTCTCCTGGCACTTGCTCTGTAGACCAGGCTGGCCTCAACTCCCAGAGATTTGTCTGCCTCTGTCTCCTGAGTGCTGGGATTAAAGGCATGTGCTACAACCACTTGAACCCTGCAATTGATTTTTGAATTCAGTTTTGCTCATTACAGTTTTAGAAACCTTTTGCTATTGCCAGACACTTCATGATCCCCTACATCATATTAAGTTATGTGACTTTGCCAACTACACAAGTTACCATGAAGCCTGCTGGGCCCTGGGCTGCCCACAGCCAGGCCAGCATCCCTCTGCACATGCTGTGTGTTGGCAGCGAACCTTAAAGCCAGCCCTTCCCCATAGCACCTTTACCCCTCCATCTCAAATCCTTCAAAGCCCTGAGTCATGGGTGAACAGGTCCCATGGTCCATACAAACGGGCCAGAGCAGAGCTTTGTCGTTAGCGTTATTACTTTCTTTTTTAACCTAGAAGGTAAAAGGCTATGAGAAGTGGGACTAGAAAACAACAAGGCCTTTGGTGGAAAGGTCTCGAGCCTTGTGGGTGTGGCTGACTCAAAGGGACCTCATCCAAGCCTACACAGGAAGGCCCGGTTTGGAAACTTCCTCTCCTCTGCAGTCTCTCCCAAGACCTCATGAGATTCTTCAGGGTTCTATTTAGGGACATTTCATAAAATACCTTGTGACCTACATGGCATCAAGAGAGCTGTCAAAACCCACCATGTCTTTGAGATGAAGAGTCCTTGGACTGAGTGTCCCCATGGGATCTGTCTGCCTGGCAAATGGATATTGGTTGATTGTGGTGTAAGGTACTAAGGGACAAGGGCAGGCATGGACTCTGGCAAGGCTGTGCATGGGTTGGACTCAGGGTTTGGTCCAGCCCTCCCGGGAGGGACACCCTTCCTCTGAGGGCCTGGATGGTGCTTGTCCTTCCCTGTATGGTTTGGAGGTCAAGGGTTCTCTGATCTCCACACGAGGGTGTGGCATGCACCCCACCCTACACAAATAAAAGTTTTTTTTTTAACTAGAACAAAACACCTCAAGTCCTGAGCAGCAATGCTGAAGGCAGCTGCTGGCTGAACTGGGTCCTTACTCCAAGCTGATGCTGGTAACGGGACAAATGCCCTTCACTGCTGGGATTCTCTCTGCTTCTGTTTAGCAGACAGACACATTTCAGCCACACAAGATCTTTGTGCTGATTCCGTCACCTAAGGACTGCTGTGTGTGAACTTAGACACTGAGCTGTCAGCATCCTGGCTGTTCTCTGAAGAAAAGACAGGATATTGCCACAGAGTTCACCTTTACCTTAATGCAAGTCTGGATTTCATGATTGGAATTGCCCATGGCTAGCTAGCTTTATGGATGAAGGGAAGCCTGCTGTGTGAGCAGAGGTGGCTGGTTCCCTGTCAAATGAAAGCAGGCCCTGAGGGCACACAAGAGGGGCCATTCCAAGGCTGTTTCCACTCCTGCTGGGTCATTCCTTCATGTCCCTCTCAATGTCAGTAACTCCCTTTGATCCTGAGAACAGAAGCCATCCTAAGATTGCACCATCAGTCCCTAAGCTTAAAAGAAAGCAAATATGAAAATGTGCTTCTGTCTTGGTTGTTAAGATTAGAAAGTGACCCCTTAGTAGGGCATGCAGTGAGTTGCTGCAGCATTTACAGAAGCCCTGAAGTCAGTTCAGTCCCCAAGGGCTGTCTTTTGCACAGAACCAACACACTGTGTTCTAAATACACAAGTGATTGCTCTCACCAACTGTGTCACAGGCCAGGACATCAGGGCAGCTGAGATGTTATGCAGTTTGCTCAAGGTCACCCTTGAGACATTTCCTAGAGTTTTGTAAGTCTGGTTTTAAAATAGAAGAGGCTGCCTTTTTTTCTGTTGCCCGAAAAGACAAGGCAATGACAATCAGCCAGCAGTTAGGCTTCAACGAAGTGAGTGTGACAGTTCTCTCAGAGGACTTTGATAGACATTAGATCAATAACATGAAGTATCTACCACAGTGCTGGGCATGTCAGAGGTGGTCAAAAGGCTGATTCCTGGGACTGGAGGATAGTGTAGGATGGCAAAGGATTTGCCTTGTAAGCATGGGGACCTTAGTTTGATCCCCCAAATCCAGGTATGCTGGTACAAGCTTATGATCCTAGTGCTGGAGAGGCAGAGACCAGAGGATCCCTGGGGCTTGCTTGCCAAACAATCTAGCTGAATTGATGAGCTCTTGGCCAATGAGAGACTGCTCAAAAAGAGACTTATGGTGTTCCTGTGAATGCCACTGGAAGTTGTCCTCCAAGACACACACACACACACACAAAGAAAAAAAAGGCCATGGCTGTCCTCTTTCCAACATGGTATCCAGTGGTGTAAGTGTGGGACTTCATCAAACACATTCATCTATAGATCCCCAAGAGGCCTAATTTATACTCTCCCAATGCACAAGGTACTTCTAATACATGACGGCTTCTAAATTCTCAGTGATCTACAAAGGTGACCCATGATGTTCAAAGTCGCCTTCATTCAAAGAGGATATTAACAGGCAACATGAAAAACATAATGCAGAATGATTAATTGAAAGTAAACCATTAATGTTCCTTTCATAAACTCTGGATGGATAATGAAGGAAAATCTCTCCCCTGCTCTTCCCTCTTTCCCTCCCCAGCTACCTCTCCTCACTCTTTCCAAAGATGGTCTTGAACTAGTGAGCTTAACCCAGTTTCTCCAGTAGCTGAAGTCCAGGCATGTGCCACCATACCAACCTTATGTCAACTCTTAGACTCCTGCCATCCTTGCTTCTCAGCTGGGATGTAGACCTTGGCCCTGAATACAGTCTTCACCCTGGCTGAGGAGGAGGAGCACTTCCACGTGGGTCAGCATGGTGAATAGGAGTCCTGGCGGGTAGTAGCATTCAGAAATGGGGACTCCAGAAGCAGGGTGTGTGTGTGTGTGTGTGTGTGTGTGTGTGTGTGTGTGTGCGTGCTCCTTTGGGGATATAGCTGCCACGTGGTGTGTGGTGTAAAAGAGGGCATTAGGAGTGTGTGTCACCATGCGTGACTAATAAAATATATTTTTAAAGATTTATTTTATGTGTATGCATGTATGCCTGAGCCATAAGTATACTGTGTTTGTGCTGGAACTCTTGGAACTGGAGTTATAGGTGATTGTGAGCCACAATGTGGACACTGAGAACCGAACCCAGCTCTCCTGCAAGAGCAGTGTAAGTGCTTTTAATCACTGAGCCATCTCTCCAGCCTATAAAAAATTTGACTTAAGTTTTAAAGTATATGTGGTTACACATGTGGGTATGTGCCATGAACCTCATATGGAGGTCAGAGGATAACTTTTCAGGAACCAGTCTCTCCTTTCACCTTGGTGGTTTTGTCTCGTTTGAAGCCGGGTCTTTCTTGTTATGCGTCACACCGTGCAGTGTACTGGCTCATAGGAGTGCTGGATTACAGGTACACATCACTGCACACAGCTTTCACATGGATTCTGAGAATTTAACCCAGGCTTGCTTGCAAGTACCTTATACACTGAGCTATCTCAAGTCCCAATATTTAGATTTAGGATTCCAAGCCTCCAAAGTCTGCACTCCGAAAGGTAAAATCAAGAGAATACTTTATTGGAGAAAGATTATACATGTTTCCACAAATCATTGACAAAAGTATAAATTATAACAACTGCTAAGTGCTGCTCATAAAAACAGGAAGCCCATCTTGGTGGGGGACGGTTTAAGTAACCAAAGCATCAGGGTCCGCCCCAGTCTCTCCCTGTCAGTTTGATCTCTTCTGATTACTTCTTTCAAAGCCCTTTCTTTCTCATCACATGGTGCCAATTATGTATCCGGGCAAATCATGACAAAAGACGACCATTTACAGAGAGAACACTTACTTGACAGTCCTGGAGTGACATTTTCTAGTGGCTGAGGGTGCCCTCCCCCCAAGGGTGCCCCCCATTTGCCCCGAAACCCCTCACTTCTGCTTCTAAGGAGCAATTTGAACATTCAGTAGAATGACATCTTTCAGTCTCTGGAAGTCCTTTTAGCAAGGAGCTGGGCAAGAAACCTACACCCTGGGTGGGGACAAAATACAGTTGCTTGAGTGTTGATCCTAGACAGGTTCTTTCAGGGTGCCCTCCAGACACTGCTTAGGGACACTGGGGAAGGGGTGTGCTTCATTATTGGCTTGGAAGCATGGAGGAATGTATACAAATCTACTGGTGAACGGGGACACACCCCCACAACTGCAGGATTCTACCTAATTTGCAGGAAGTAGGCTGGAAATGTGGAAACCCAGGAGATAGCTGAACCTAGGTTGTCTCTCATGGACAGACAGGTCCTTTACTAAATAATAGTCTCTATCTAAAGCGTGCTAACCAGGTCACCTCCTCTGAAAGCAGGGAGCCGCGGGGCAAAAGCCACCTCCTCAACTGCCCCCATGATGGGTGTCATGTCAAAGCGACCCCCATCACATCATTCTCTGTGTAACATCTGTGCCTTACTGATTGCAGGACACAGATGGGCTGATGTCATCTTTAGAGAGCCGGAGTGATCTTTGGGGTCTTGCAGTCTTTAAATTCTGAGCAGGAGCTGAAGAACCCCCTTCACTCATCCCAGAAGCCATGGTCGCGGTGCCCGAGCCTAGAGAAGCCGGCAGTGCGGGATCTGCAGCTAGTGACTCTGAAGGCCCTGGAACACGCGGTGTGTTCGCCCTGGTTTTCAGGTTCCTAAGCACCCATTTCCTTCCGTGGTCTCAGGACCTTGGCTGTGCAACCTTTGATGAACGTGTAAAGAATCCGGTCGTGGAGAAAAGCCGGCACTCACCCGGCCACAGGGCTCTTTGGATTGGGATGCGCTGGGTTCCCATTCCGCAGGGCGGAGTTCCGCAAAGCAAATCTAGATCTCCCGAGCCTTTTACCAGGGGCTCCAACCGCGGCCTGGGTGTGTTTCCGGGGATCCGACCTAAACAGAGACACTACATAAACGAGATGGGTCAGAAATCAGCTTGGGGCCAGTCCGGAGTCTGCCTGTCTGAGACAGACAAGTGCAGGGCGGCCCGGGGGCGGCGTGGAGTGGGACAGTGGCGCCGCACACCGCGCACTTCCTGTTCAACGCGCGCCGCCTGCCACCGCCCAGCTCTCCCGGAGTCTGAGTCCGTGCCAGGTTCGGCCCCTACTGTCCCCTGAGTCCTGGGGGACGCTGCTCGGAGGCCGCCCAGGGCGGTTGCCCTGCCCAATTCTCCCCTAGGGGCTGGGGCGCGCCCTTCGGCCCGCAGAACCCAGCCAGCCGCCGTCACAGTTTATTTCTGCGGCCACGCGCCAGCCCAATTGCGAGGAGCCTCGGCTTTTGCACCTCCTCTTCCCCCTCTACCCTCCCTCTCGCCTAGAGAGGCGGCCCTCTGGGTCCCTGGCTCCCTGCTGCTGCATTGTGCGGCCCAGGGTTATGCATTTCCATACTAAGCTTCTCTCTCTGACAGCCTATTCCACCGAGACTGGAGCACCGGAAGGCTGTTTTCCAACTTGCTGCTGTAAATTGCACCTGTCTGGCCAATTACCTCTGGGAATCCGTGGGAGGAGCCGAGAGGGTGGAAAATGTTGCTTCGCTTTGCAGTAGGAGGGAAACTTTGTCACCCAGCACGAGACTTCTGCCACGCGTAAGCAAAGACAGCGCTGTCCTCGACTCTGTAGTCGGTGACTCGGTAGGAGGACGAAATAGAGCCTACCGGGATCTCGCGGACCGCCAGCCCCTCGGGCGCCTCCCCGCGTGTTACCTGCGCCGTCGGCCCTCCCCGCCCCGCGGAAGTCTCCACGAGGTGTTTTCAGGGTGGAAGGACAGTCATAAAGAGCGCGCGGCTCCAGTGTAACGGCAGCAGCCCTGGGAGGCAGCGAGGGGACCTAATCCCGGGGACGAGGCACCGGAATTAACTTCTGGTCAAAGTTATGGGAAGCGCAGCCATGGACACCAAGAAGAAGAAAGAGGTTTCCAGCCCTGGAGGGAGCGGAGGCAAGAAAAACCCCAGCCTGAAGCGACGGTCACTACGAGTGCACATTCCGGTGAGTTCCGTTCCCAGAGCTCTAGACTCCAGCTGCGCTGAGGCGGTTAACTCGGGACACCCCCCCGCGCGCTGTCCCGTCCCTCCCGTCCCTTCGGGAGTCTGGGGCGGGGAGGGGGCAGTGCCCAAGCTGGGCCACAGAACCCATGGTTGGACCTCGCTCAGCACTCGCGTGGAACTCCAGAACTGTCCCGGGCAGGGGCATGGGCAGGGGTGTCTGCCAGGAAGCAGGGAGGCGGAGCGTGCTCCCGGGTGCGCATAGCCTGGTGGAGGACTGGGCCTAGCCCTGGATCTGGCCAGTGCTGGTGCTGGGGAGGGGGTGGGTGAGTCGCGTTGTTTTGCTGAAAAAGGACGGTGTGGACTGCGCTCTGGGGGAGGGGGGGGGTGTTGGGGTGGAGCTGTGCGAGGCCGCTAGGGACCGAGGAAAGGAGTAGTGGGTGGGGACATCGCGGGGGCCACAGTATGGGTGCACCCCCAAATGGCTCTCCACCATGTCCTCAGGGCTCATGTGAGTCGCGGCTGGGGTCCCTTTGCAATGGTTTCCTCCGTTTGGCTCCAGGGACATTTTGGGCCTCTGAAATTTGAAGGTTAGAGGAGCCCTCATCTGTACAAGGCTGTAGCTAACTTCAGCTCAAATCACCACTCTGCCACCTTGGTTGGACTTTGGCGACATTGATCTAAACAGCCAGAGGGAGCGGCAGCATGCAGAGTAGATTGTTCACAGTGCTGAGCATCATTCAGTCTGGCCTGCCCTAGAGGGTAGCCCAGGGACTCTTGTTTTCACCTCCATAGAGCAAGATCAGGTCACAGGAGGTATACCCCAGTCCTTACCTTTACGGCTCAAGGAACCCACACCTGGCTACACCCTTCGAGATGACCAGTCAAGCAAAGGTTTTTACACGTGCACGAGCTAAGCCGTGTGGGACAGCACATTCAGCCCCACTACCTCATGGCAGCATCGCTGATCCCTGTCACAGCACAGGCAGAGCTGGCTTGCCAGGGCTTCCCACCCATTTTCACCCTGAAGAGTAAGTAGTAGGCTTTTCCTACCGTATTTACCCCAAACCCTTCCATTTAGGTGCTCCCTATCCCCCTTTAAGTCCAGCCCAGGACTACAATACTGAGTGGAGACTTGGGGCCTGGAGCTCTCCACGGCAAATGTGTGCTTTGGGGAGCAGGGTGAAGTTGGGCATCTGGGCAAGTCATGAGTTCTGCAGTGACCCGAACAAGCAGGGATACGGGTTTTATTTGAGAAAACACTCCTACATACATTGCCCATGTAAGGCATTTTAAAACTATTTTAAATAGAAAGCTAAAAATTACTGCTTAGATCTGTTTAACAGTTAACATAGTTTGTTTGTCTTGTTTGTGTCAGAAAATGGTGCCCACCAGTAAACAATGGGAAAGGTCTTCACAATGTAAAGTGCTGTATACTAACGTGGTTATTACATGCATGACAGAGTGAAGAGCTCCCAGCAATCAGGAGGCTGAGGCATGAGGATTGTTGTAAAGCCTGGGCTACATAGCAAATAGTCTCAATAAAATGAATAATAAAAGTGGGCAGGGCAAGAAGAGAGGAGGGGAGTAAGTAGTTCCTGCCCACTGAGCCAGTCACATTGAATTGAGGCCAAGTGGAGAGGCTGATCCCCCCACTCACGTGTGCTTGTCATGGAAGTGGAGTGTTGTGTGGCAGTGTAGGGCAAAACCCAGCACCAGCTGAGGGACTGATAGGCCCAGTGCTGACAAGCAGCATCAAAGTTGGGACATTCTAGCATATTCTTGGCATAACCTAGCCCTTAGTGAAAGCAGAGTCCACTCCATTGCCACACAAGTGTTCACCAAATGTGACCTATGCCTGGTGTCTTCCTTAGGGTTAGGTCCAGGTCCAAGGGAGAGAGTTCTGTGTCTGAAGAGTGCTTGTATTTGCTGGTGGGACCAGATGCCAAAGCTGGGAGGAGTCTTTCAGACGGGAAGAAAGACACACACCCAAAGCTGTCCACAAGGCTATGGGGGACTTAGGGCAGGCTTGAGAGTAAGGGGCAGGGTCTTTGTTGCAGTTCTGCCTTTGTGAGCAATTCCTGAGTCTTGGCAGGCCTGGAATTCATTAAGAGGACCAGGTTGGCTTTGAATAGACAGAGATCTCTCTGCCTCCGATTCCATAGTACTGGGATGAGGCAGAGTCTGGCCTTTGAGCCAGGGTTGTCTGAGGGATCTACATAATAACAGACCAGTTTTAGTGCTAGTATATTCCAAACATGACATGGAACAAGCTTAAGGTTAAAGAAAAAACTGCATGTTGTTTGAAATCCATTTTCAATTTCGTCTCTCCTGCTTACTTTCTGCTGAGTTTCCTTCAGGGCCCTACTTGATTTGGTCTCTGGACCATTCCCTTCCCTCCATGGGACACTGCATTCCACTAGAACTGGAAGGCCATGTCCTTCTGCATCTGATGGGATCTGATGTGGTTGTCACTCTCCTCTCACCACAAGGTGAGGAGTTGACCTGTCATCATATGTGCTGGGCATAACGGTTAAGCATGTGTCTGAAGTCCCTAGTTCACAGCCTCTCCTGGCACAAGAATTAATGGGTCACCATTAGTGGGCACTCAAAGGACAGACTTGCACCACGTAGGCAATCATTGGGTAGATGGGTCTGATGTGGCTGCACAGACCATTTCAGGAGAACCCAGCAGGATGCTGCTGTTTCCCCCAAGGAATCCACTTATTAGCATATCCTCATAGCCTGTCTGGCTTCCTGAAACTTCTTTTTTTTTTTTTTTTTTTTTTTTTACGAGACATGGTTTCTCTGTATTGTTTTGGAGGCTATCGGTCCAGCCCGGCCTCGAACTCACAGATATCCGCCTGCCTCTGCCTCCCGAGGGCGCCACTGCCGCCCAGCACTGAAACTTCTTTCTTACTCCTTTGCTAACGCTGTTTAACTTAAAAGTATTCACTAAGTCCTAAACTTTTGTCTGGGAGCTTTTTTCAGAGGGCCCAAACTGAGAAGCCATTAAAATGTGAGGAACAAAAATTCATGAGAAGTAGTCAGTCACACCAGCAAGTTGAAGTGTGTTGGCAGACTTAAGGGATCAGAGTCTGAGAGCCCTTCAGGGGGCAAAGGTAGTTGGGGGATGCTCCCAGGAAGATGGGAAGGAGGGCCTGAGTGAGACAGGACCCTGTATGACACAAGCTCCCAGAGACGTTAGGGTCTTCACCTACTAGGCATTAGTGACAGAATGCACATGCTCCCAACCCTCATGGGAGAGGAGCTCCTGAAGTCCTTCACTGTCATTGGAGACAGACTAAAAATAGGATCAAGAGTATCTGGCCAGTCAGAAGGTTATGGTGTCACAACTGGGCTTGAGTGAGCTCAAGATACTGCCACATGCTGTGTGGCTGGCTTCTCACCCTACCTGAGGCCACAGGGCCCTCGGTGCTGGTGATGGCCTGTGACCACACTGCCTGCAGAGCATAGTGACAGGAATAGTGTTCTGACCCTGGGGTTGGAGGATCAAGTGACAATATGTTCAGTGTTTTACCACTGCAACATCCTCAACTAGAGTGTGAGGAAGACATCTTGCTTTGATGGTTTGTACATGCTCTTTCATGGCTGGAGTTTAGGGCAGGATTATCAAAGTGTGGTCTTGAACCAGCTTAAGTATAACAGCACTGTCTAGTATTGCTTTTAAAAATATCAAATCCTGGGTTTCAGTCTAAACCTACTGAATTGGAATTTCTGAGACAAGACCCATGATTTTGTTATTCTTTAAATTCTCCATGGGATTCTTACACCTCCTGGTGTAAGACAGTTGGATTCTAGCGTCCATTTGTTCTGTTCTCATGTCTTTCGTTCTGTGTGTCATCTGCTTTCCTGTCTATCCATCGCTGTTCTGGCTGGCTGAGTGTTAACTTGACACAAGGTGGAATCGTCAGAGAGGAAGGATCCTCCATGAGATCCAAGTGTGAGGCATTTTCTTAATCAGTGATCAATGGGGAAGGGTCCACCCAATTGTGGGTAGTGCCATCCCTGGGCTGATGGTCCTGGGTTCTAAAGAAAGCAGGCTGACCAAGCCATGTGGAGCAAACCAGTAAGCAGCGTTCCTCCATGGCCTCTGCATCAGCTCTTGATGCCAGGTCCCAATCCTGTCTGAGTTCTTGTCCTGACTTCCTTTGATGCTGAACAGCGATTTAGAACTATAAATCAGACCTTTTTCTTCCCATCTTGCTCTTGGTCATTGTGTTTTATCACAGCAGTAGAAACCACTAACTAAGACAATGCCTATCTGTGATTGGTCTAATTTATCCGATATCCATGTAACTTTTGTCCGTCTATCCTTCATCTGTTCATCCATCCATCCAACCATCATCTGTGTATTCACACATTATCTATTCATATATCCGTCATCTATCTAATCTGTCCAAATACTCTTGTATCATCTTCATCCATTCATTATCTGTCCCTGTCTGTTTATATTCAAGTATCCATGTATCATCTATATACCTATCTGTCATCTTTATCCATTCATTATCTATCTGTCCCTGTCTGTTTATATTCAAGTATCCATGTATCATCTATATACCTATCTGTCATCTCCATCCATTCATTATCTATCTGTCCCTGTCTGTTTATATTCAAGTACCCATGTATCATCTATATACCTATCTGTCATCTCCATCCATCGATCATGTGTCCATCTATCTCTGTCTATCTTTATGTCATCTGCATTTCCTTCGTAAATCATCTGCACTATCCCATCCATCATTGAGAACCTCCCTTTACTACTAATTGACAATGACTGGAACTTTCTGGCTTCCAAATAAAGATTAGCCAGCAGCTGGAGTAGCCAGTGTGAGTCAGCGTCTTAGGCATGCTTCAGTGGCTCAGTGCATCTTTGGGTGTCTGTGAGTGTAAACTCTTAGAGGACCCAGATGTCAGAAGCTTCATCAGCTCCTTGCAGGGCACCAGGACTCACTAGTGAAGCCTGAATGCTGTGTGTCAGTG